TTCTTATTTTAATTGTAATGGTTTAATGGTTAATGGCTTCATTTTAACTGTTTAATGGTTAATATGTAATGACAGCTCTGCTGTGCATCTCATTTATGACACCTGACCAGCACAACCACCCCTGAAATATGGAGGGGGAAGGTCCTTCAGGGCAGCTGCTTTGGGATTCAGATTGTTCCACCAGTAAAGGAGTGAGAAATCCAAATCTGTGACATGCTACTGTGGACAATGTGCTTGTTCATCAAATTCCATTACCCATATCTGGCAGGATACCTCCTGGAGTTGTGTTAGAAGAGTTCCCTTTTCATGCTAAAGTCATTGAACTTGAAGACTCCTGCCTTCAGAAGCACCTTATTTGTTAACATAATTTCACTGATGTGTTTACTGCACGTTCACTCAGTGCTGCATCCAAATAAGACAATAACTGATATTATTTCATAAAGAAGCAAACACACATCTTAGTCTAAAGAGATTCCTATTTTTTTTCCAGCCAGTAGGCTGCCAGTGCTTTGAGATGGGTCTGACTATCTGCCTGTAGGCCACCACAACATTACACTGTGTATTTATGGCTCAGTCCAGAAAAGGTTTGACTGTAGTTCATCACAACAGGTGAAAGACACTAAAATTTGCTTGGATCCCTTAGTAACAAGAATTATTGATGTTACAAAAGAGTGGAAAATAAGCTGTTATATCTCTTGCTGAGAGATATTTATCCTTTAGCTGTTTCAAAGTAACATATTCCTGAGATTCCCAATGAGTAAGGAGGATTGAAAAAAACAGTAATAATTTTAAGCAACCTCAACTTGTTTCATAATGATTTTTTGTATATGGAACAGGAGACTTTTTCTTCCTTTGATTTCTTTACCTCTAAAACACCATGTTTACATGCTACAAAAGGGGTATAAAATAGATGTCAAGGCAAAGTTTTAAAGATTAAGTACAAAGAATAGATATATTATCCAAAAACTCTTCTAGTAGCACAGATATTTCAGAGATTCAGAGCCACAGCATAACATCCAATAATCATCACTCATAGAGGCAAGATCAACACTTCTCAAATTACATGCACTGAAAGCTACAGAAACATCTAAGGGTGGTAAAGGACAAAAATTAATACTTGCAAGACAGTTCTTCCCTGAAATCCTGGAGAGCATTCAATGGTTGGATCTCTCTCTCTCTTACAATGTCCTGAGACAAGGTGAAATCTACATTATATAAACACCACGGGTTTTTTTCCTGGAAGACATCTGGCAGTTGTGAAGAATTTGGTGAAAGCAATTCAACTGCAGTGTACAGTGGTCCTCTACAACAAGGTGTGCTCTTCTTCTCCTTGACAGTGTTTTACATTTCCATGCCAATTTTATCACTGAAGATGAATGAAGCATTTTAAACTATTCCTCATTCAAAATACTCCTGTCTGAGCAAACATATCTAAGACTCAATAAAGAGGGGTATACCTTAATATGCTACATTCTGCAGACAAAATAGGAAGGAAGTTCTAGAATTCATTTTGTGAACTGTGGAAATCTGAGCATGGGGAATAGAATTAGGCCCCCTCAAAACCAGGAAGAATTCTGTGATTAATCAGGATTAATTTGACAAGCTCTCTTTTTGACTGAAAGCAGCAATTTTCATGCATACTTAAAATCTTTCTCATATTCTGAGGCTATATGGTCAGACTAAGTGGCCCAAAATTAAGAAAATTGAGTTGCAGGGTTGCAAATAATGAGTGGTGTTGGAAATGCCTATTTACAAGGGTCTTTCTTACAACGTCTTTCTTACAAGCAAAGCAGATTATAAGATAAAACCAGAAACACAAGAAATATTTTTTAAAACAGTGATTTGAATTTAAAAAGCAGATGAGTGCACCTTGTGGTGTTATCAGCCATTATTAAAAACTTGGTACAAGCAATGGAGACCTCTAAGATTCAAACATCTGATGGTTTCTCTTTATGTCATGAGACACTTCCGTCGAGTTTTTGCCATAAAATTCAGGCAATATAAAAGCATTAACTCACAGGTTTACCAAATCAAACACCTGTTCAATTTGCAACATACCCCTACAAATGTTTAGAAAAATGTTCCTCTGCTTACAGTAGGCCTTGAGTGCTCCAGAACTCGTTGCCAGATACAAAAGGCTTTGCATAGTCCTTCGGGAGTGGGAGGTTTCTGCACAGATTTAAACATCCTCAGCATCAACAAATGACAGCAGACAAACTATGAAAGCCTGACAGTGCTGGATTGCCTTAGTGATGGTGACATAAGTGGCATCCTGGTTCAGCCATGAATCAATGACATTGCTCAAAGAAGGAAGTCAGACCTTCCAACAGATCTCAGCTTGTATGAACAACTGTACATAAGATGAAAGGGCTTATCAATTTAGAGATGCAAACAGGAAAAAAGCTTCTAATTTATCATGGTAAGTTTCAGGAATTGTGATGTGAAATTGCATAAAATTACTTATGTCAGATTAATCCCTAGATGATCACAGGGGCAGGTTAAAACAGTATATGTATTTTTGCTGATTAAGGTAATAAAAAAGACCCAAATGTGACTTATTCCAGAGGTGAAAATCATCCAGCTTCATTATGCAACACACATATCCATAAAGTGAAAAGACACCACATAAATAAAGTAGAATAGATACTTAAGGGTTGTCACATCCACCTCACAGAATCACAGAATGGCTGAGGTGGGAAGGGACTTCTTGAGATCACCTTGTCCAACACTCTGCCCTAGGTCACCCAGAGTCAAGACTGTGCTCACCTGGATTTTGAGTATCTTCTGAGATGAAGAGTTGACAATCACTCTGAGTTATCTATTTCACTCTTGGACCACTACTACAGTAAAAAATTATCACGTTCTGATGGAATTTCACAGGTAATAATTTGTGCCTCTTGATTTGCCACTGGATATTACTGAGAGGAGTCTGGCTCCCTATTCTTCATCCAACCCACAGCTATTTGTACATGTTGATAAAGTCCTCCAGAGCCTTCTCTTCTCCATACTGAACACTGTTTGCTTTCTCAGCCTCTCCTCACATGAAAGATGCTCCAGTCCCTTAATTCAGTTCATGGTCCTTTCCTGGACTCACTCCAGTAAGTCAATGCCTTTCTTATACAGGGGAGCCCAGACCTAGAAACAGCACTACAGAAGTGGCCTCATCAGTGCTGTGTAGAAAAGTTCTTTATGCAATAGAAATAATAAAAAAGGCAAGACATGGTCTGAGGAGTCTGCTCAAAGAACTGAAAATGCTTTATTTTATTGTGAGACCTCAACACACAACAATCAAAAGTAATTCCAAAATTAAGTTCTTTTGTTGCACTGAATTAATCTAAATTCTCTTGTACCTAGGATCATTGTGATCCATGCCAGAATTAAAATAATCCATCCGTTTCCATAAAAATTTTTGGAAAAAATCTACATTACAATGAAGTAAATATTTCCAAAGTCATCATCTCGAAATTATCTAATATTAAGAAGTCATATAATATCACTCCACTCCTACTCTTTGCAGAGTTTTGAGAACAAGAATTATACACCTCTCTCTCTCTCTGTGCATGAGATAAAAAGTAGGGACAGACACAAAGATGGGGTGAATTAGTGACTCTATGGAATTCAATGCAGTTTCACCTGGTTTTGATACCAAAAGACACAGTTTCCATATAAATATACATTTGCACTCCAACCATATTTCTCAGAAATCACCATGGAGATATGCAACCAAAGTTAACATGATCATCATCTCCATAAAACAAATTCCACATGGAGTAAAAAAGGATATAAGATATCTCCTTCACAAAAGTATCACTCTGAATTTTTATATACTGCTTCTTTGTGAAAGAAATCCAGGCTCAAGTAAAGCAGATCAGGAACCATTTTTGACAAGTTTAAAATAGTCCTTCTAAAAGCAAGTTATTGACCATTTATAGAAAATCTGCAGGAAAGCAAATTTAATTGCTATCATATGTCTGTCTACATAACGTGCCATCCACCGGCACAAAAGAATTAATGCTCCTGGTCCCCTCCAAATTCTGCACTGTATGTTCCATACATCCATTTCATTATTGTGCACAGTGCTAAGCCCAGAATAATTAAAATGCAGGCACTTTAGTACTACCATTTATTTAGCATAGCCATATTTAACTCTACAAGGGTTGAACTCAATTTTCCTCTTATAAGGTTTGAATTCTAAAAAATACTTTGGATATGTATCATTTAATTGGGATTCTCCACCAGAAAATTATTAATGGCTCAAACATATATTTTTTGAAAGTTTCTTCAACTTTACACAGCTTTATTTAAAGGGATTAGACTTTGAAGGCTTAACTGTTGCTGGTTTAAAAAAAAAATCCTCTATAAATTGCTAAAACTTAATAAAACGTTTTGAA